TTTTTTCCGTTATTATAATCTGTTAGAAATATAAAACCCTTTGCTACATAACAAGTTGCCTAGCATGCCTGGTTTCAGGGCTGACAGCTTTTTTTAAAGCTCTGCCTTATCAGAGGCCATCAAGCTTCCTAGTACCCAACTTGCATGGATTTTACATGAATAAAGAAAATCCAGAGAGAACTCTGAAGCCCTCTCAGCAGACCGAGAAGAAAAAAAGCTTGAAGTTCTTATCAGTATTGTGAAATGAACTGCACTATACAGATACTCAACCTACCAGAGACCTAAGCTGATAACTTCACACCGTTCAGCTCAGCATCACACAGACTTTACCAGTGTGGGTCGAGATGCAGTGTAATGGCAATGGCTCAATGCTATTAACAATCCAGTGAGTATTGCATTCACCAACCTGAGTGAAGAGCCAGGTTAATACATCCATACCTCATCCACTCCCAAGCTGGACTATATTTTATCTACTTAACTACCCCTAAGAGGGGAGTAGACTTGCTCTGCAATTCCTAATGCAGCACAGGAAGAGACTTAAAAGCCCGACACCTTATCCTGGTGTTACACACTGCTTTAAACTGCTTTAAACTGCCTTACCGTGGGTCCTGCTAAGAGTTCTGCATTTGCAGTGCTGTAGCCTGCCTTCCATTTGCAGCTCCAAAACCCTTACCTTTGCCACCTAGCCAGTGTTTCTAGCTGTATTTTTCCTTTGCTGTTCTCACCGTGCTGTTATTCTCAAGGCCCTTCACCAATACGTTGACAGAGTTTTATCTATAATGTACCATAGCCCTTCTCTCCTCTGCCCTTTTCCTATCTCCTGGCAGTAGTTTTTGGTATACATTACAGAGCCCAATAAGATGCATGCACAAAGCTCAATAAGCAGCCAGTGTGCAACACCTGCCCTGATGCAGCACTACCAGCACCATGAACAGGATCAAGCAACAGGGAGCTTGAGCAGGTCCTGATGAAAACCACAGAATTACTATGGGAAAATGTTATGGGGAACACTCGTCGCATGGAAAAAGACACCCAGAGGAGGCTGCTCATCTGGGAGACCTCACCATTTCCCTTCCCTCTCCACTGGGAAAACTTTCCCCTTTCCCTTTTTTTCTCTCACTTGTCTGGTTTCCTTTTTTCCAAGAAAGTACCTCTCATATTCACTATCAATTTACACCATCAGTTGCAGACCTTGCAAACGAATCTTTGCACCTTGCATGTAATCCTGGTTCAACATCCTCTGTGCAACAGTATCCATATAAATATGCTCTACTCCATGTGAAAGTGTCATTCCTTACATGCTTAAATCAACCCTAACTTCCAAACACACATCCCTGCCTCGTCTCCAGTGAGGGCACAAGCTCTTGTGTGACTGACTAGGTGAGGAGGTGTTTGAGTACAGCTGTAAGTCTAGAAGTAACTTTTCCCTTCCTCTGACCCCAAAATTGATCCATTTCAACTCAACTATCAGTGCTGGAGCCAGGAAATTTGCAGAGACACAAAGGTTGGGGAGAAAAGATGGAGGAGAAATCACTGCCACCTCAACATAAATCATCTTAGACCGATATGAAAGCTAGCCCTCAACTTTGCATACAAATAGCAGCTCTTAGGCCACATTTCCATGAGTTACTGAAAACGACCTTTTGTGCCACTTGAAACACTTAATACTTTATTTTTAACTCAAGCCATTCATTTTACCAAAATCAAAGCTCCCTAACACAATTTCCTAATCTGTACCTTCACCTATTTGATAAGCACATTTTTTAAAACAGAGATCAGTAAAGGGAATTCAGTCACAGTATAAAATACAAAACCAGCTTTCACTTTACTTAACATATTTTTTTATCGGTTTTGGTAACAGGTAATAATCTACAGTCAGAAACTGATGAAAAGGAAAAATACTGATTACAGCATATTACTTACATAATTTTTCAAATCTTATTTTTAAACAGTCTCTATGGTCTGCATGTTGGGAACTCCAACAACACTTCGATTCTACTATCCAACTGTTAAAAATCAGCAAACAAATGCTAAATACAACATGGTAGTAGAAGACAGTAAATGTAACATCTCATCCTACAGGTACATAATACAGTATTATAGGATATGCTTCATATCTGGGACTTTTCTCACTACTATAACAGATCCAGAGCCTTTTTCCACACTTCCCTCTGGTGAGGGCAGGTAGGAGGCACACAGTGATCCCAATGGACAGAGAGGAGCAGGATCCTGTGCATCAAGGAGCCAGCGACCCACGCTGCAGCCAGTCTAAGCTGGCGTGGGCTGCACCGTGCTGCAGGATCTGTGCCAGCATGGCTCACAGGATGGGGCTCTGCTCAGCAAACCCTGCCGCTGTAGGACAGGCTCGCTGCAAGAGAGAGGCCCGCAGGCAGCTCCCCATTGGTATCACCTGCATGGCCTTGCCTTTATCTAAGAGCGCAGCAGGAAGTCCTCATGTGAACATCATATACATGCAATAATACTATATATGCTATAATACTATAGCAATAGCAGAGTTGTCTCATTGTAAAAAAATCCTGTAAAAGTGTGAATGACCGAGAAGGGGAGAATCTCTGGTGCCAACAAGGTCTGCATGGCACACTGCAGTTCAATGCCATGCTGCTCAGGACTCCCAGTATCTGAAGGGGTTAGATTATCTGTGCTATTCTCCTCTTATACCATCAGCTCTAACAAATAGCATTTTACCTGATACCTTACAGAGTCTGAGTGGCCTTTCTTACTGGGATCATGATGATCAATTATTTCCAACACAGGAGTAGTCCCAAAACAGTTATTATATGGCATCATATGGGATTGGACTAGATGATCTTTTGAGGTCCCTTCCAATCCCTAACGTTCTGTGATTCTGTGATCATTCTTCTGTTTCCTCTTTACTCTGGTATTCATGTTTATGCAGACAGACAGGCAGATCTAGTTATTTACTACTTAGTTTTAGTTATTTATCAGTTTACTACCCACAGCATCATTAGCCACCCTGCATAGGCAACTGCGCCCAAATAAGCTCAATGAAGCAGGCAAGCAGAGATTCTGGCCTTCTGCCCCACTCTGTCTCTTTGTTCTGTGATCAGAAAAATCAAATGCCCTTGGCTACCTAATGCGCCCAGAGAAACAGAGCTCATGTACCATTTTGCCTTAACATGGGAACACAATTCCCATGAAAGACAGTTAGCAAAGAAGCAAACTTAAAAGATTGTACTGGACGTACTAATCATTTTCCAGAAAAAGAAGTAACATCTTAGAAGTTAGCAACTGCTAAGTCTTTCAGGGTTCTGCTTCTACAAATATGTTTCAGTAAATAAGTTCAGATTCCAGAATTCCCCATTTTATGTTTTTTACTAACTTGCATTTTTTCCAGCCTAGTTTTTTAATGTTAGTCAAACTAATCTCATCATAAAAGCAATTCAAATAAATGTAGGATTTCTAAATATTAACAAAACTAATTTCAGACACCATAGTTAGGTTTTTAAACCTTGACATATGTAAGCAGAGACTCAGGTCAGCAGTGACTAGAAATGCAACACAAGTAATACAATAATCAGGCACTGTTCTGTAGAGTAATGAAATAGTTATATTCCAGCTTATTTTCATTTGTTTGTCTTTAGAAGTTCTAGGTATTGTTGCTATTTAAAAAAATAAAAAACAAAAAACAAAAGAGAATGAAATGTTAAAATCCTAAAATTATCATGATTTTAAATTCTGAGGAATAGTAAAATAATATTAAGTAAACGGAAATATTTTCCTCAGACAATTCTGATATCCTGCATTTTCATTTCAAACTCCTTAATTTTTAAACATTGCTGTAAATTCAATCTCTAATAAAAGAGTAATTTTGAACCAAAATACTTCTTCAGCATTCATAACCTCATTCTTTTTTATGAGATGCATAAAAATTAACAGGAAATGCACTAAGCAAACCTTAAGCCACATTTTTCACGGATAAAACACAGAATTAGAAATCCCTGCCTTGTCTTGTTTTGAGTTTGTTTTGGATTTTTTTTTCTTATTTTACAGATTATACTTGGTATCACTTTTGGAGCTCTAAAAGACCTGATCTAATATAGCTCCTCTGCAGAAAAATTAGGGAAAAATGGGGAAAAAATCCTATATCAGAGAAAGAAGTTCTTGGGATTGCAAATTAATACATATATTACCTTAACTTTGTCTCTGAGTGCTGCATTAGATACAAATAACATCTAATTCAGGATGAGCTAGAACAGTTTTTCTATCTGTACCAAAGTCGTACCAATAGCAAAGATGAAGATGTTTCCAAAATTTAGAATATATTGAAGAATGAAATATTTGGATGGTCAGTTAAGAAAACTGCTCCACTCACTTAAATTTTCATTTTTTTTTAAATATTTAAGAATTTTACAGTTTGAAACCAAAATTTTGAATACTGTCTTCTCAATGATTACTCCAACTTACTACAGTAATGACAGCACTGATGGAGGGCTCTGAACATAGGTTTCTGAACTGTGGAATAAGGGATTTTTCCTAACCAAACACTGAGGATTAAGGAACTGAGACAGTTGACCAAGCAGAACGGTTAAAAAAATAGACACCAGAGAATGGTTTCAAGACAATTTTCAAAATGCAGCCCTCCTAATTTTGAATCAAATTTCTAGGAAAGGAGTGTTTAATTTTTAATGATACAGATTCTAATCACATGACACAACAGCAAAGAAAAGGAAATCCTCTCTCTGAAGTTATTGCTCTGCGTCCTCACTGTCATGGCAGTAGATTGTAACTCCAGTATGGACATTAACAAATAGAAACAGTTGGTTTACGTGTCTGTATTCCACGTGACATGCTATCTTCTTTTTGAAGGAGATTATGCATGTTTCTAAATAAGGCTGCAGAGACTCTCCTCAGTAAAAATCTTAGTTTTATTTTACCCTGAAATAACCTAGGAAGTTCATAAACATTTAGAACACATTGACAAGTAAAGGATAAAAGCTATCAAATAACAGAAAAAGTACCTCTGATTATACATGCCCCGGAAATTATAATTTGCTCTATAATTGGGAATTGGCTTTGGATCCAATGGCCTGTAGATGGCAGGCTCTCCTCTTTTCATAGCCAGACCATTCAGCTCCACTGTTGGAGTTATGCTGCCTGCAAAAAAACCAAAGAATACATGTAAGGCACTTAAACCACAAATACTGCAAAACACACAAAGAGGACTGAAATGAGCAGCAAAGAGGTAGCTGCATGATATTTTTTTGCTATTAAATTAAAAAGATGCAACTACAATGACATTTCAGTTTCTCTAAAAGACAGGAATATAGGTGTCAACCACAAGCAATGAAAAACAACATTTAAACATTTATCTCAGTGCACTCTCTATGCAGTTTCAGTAGATTAATCTTCACGTATGAATGAAAAATTGCTGTAACCCAGCTGGTTATTCATGTTTCCAAATACATTATGACACTTTTTGAAACTATAAAGATAAAATAATAACGTCTCTTCCTTTCTGCTGATTGCCATTAAATAAAACCACAAATAGAACAAAGGGGCAGTGAAACAAGCAAGCAGTAATAGGCATTACTGCAGTCATTTGGTAATCTTACAACAAATTTTAAAAATGTTTTATTTGCAAGACTTGAAAACTTAAGTCTAGGACTAAAAACTAATGATCTAACAGGAACGTTCTAACAAACAAAAACCACAACTACTGGAAATCAGTGTCAATACAGCCACCTACTGGTGACAGAACATAAAAATAGAAAGCAGCCAGCATTTGTCCACTTGCATGGTCTCCAAAATGCCAAATTAAAAACTGCACTGTGACTTCATTATTTTTTGGTATAAAAAGTTCAGCTACAGTATTATCCACTGGCACTGTTGTAAGAAAATCCTTAATGAGCTAAATGTACATTCCAATAAAAAGGAGTTAATAGTTTCTCAAAATATTTTCTTAAAAGGTTCAGATGAATCTAGCCTTAAAACAGCTATGATAAATTTGCCAATCTGCCATTGAGGCTTTATACGCCAAATGATGAAAATTTTTACACAATACTAATTAAAAATTTCTATCAACAACAATTTTATATCTTCAAGAGCAAGGAATGACTATGAATAGAACTATAGAATAAAAATACAAAATGTCCTTTTGATGAGAGGATACCTGTACATATACAATACACCTTTTTTAGAGCAAAATCACAATGTTAAGTGATACAATTTTTTAATGAATTACCTTAAAGCCTATTTCTTTTGTGATCAGCTTTTCCCTTTAAGAATATACTCAAAGCCAAAAAAACCTAGAAGCTGAGTAATACTCTGCAATGTCAAAATCAAATCCAGGATCCCTTTATATAGAGGTTTGAGCCTCCCGCTTCCTAAACAGCCAAAGTCACAGTGACTGTGAAGGACACAGGGCAAAACTCATGTCCTGGGTCTGGAGAAGCAATGTATTGATTTCCAAAGGAGCAGAAGAATACTGGCACATCACTCTCAAATAACCCTTAGTGGCTGCTAACGCTCACCATACTACTCACAAGCTCTAGAGCAAACTCACTCTTGCTTTTTTCCCAACATAGAGAAGATTAACTGCAAAACTATTCCATTTTAAGAAAGTGGCTGAAGATGACTTTTCTTAAAGTGGGGAGGCAGGGGGAAATAAAAAGGGAAGAAGGGAAGAGGGGAAAAAGAAGGGGGAAAGGAATGTAAAAAAAGAAAAGAATACTTTCTTCTCACTGTTTGCTTTCTTTTATATTGGTTTGAAATCAAGCTAGATTTTATTTATTTATTTATCTTATTGAACAAGACAGAACAGACCACTGAGCATGTGGCTGAGATGTGTACCTCAGAAGGTGCTGCACGCACAGAAGGCAGCTCACAGGTAACACCTCGAAATGAAGGATGCAAGACACCAATACACATTCTTTCTGTTGTTCAAACAACAGTTCCTAGAGCCATCTAAAAGCTTTTTGAAAGCACAGGTTGCTATGAAGGAAAACTCACCATGAAGTAAATTACATGTCAAAGTTCTCATGCCAAATCCTGACCATTTATTTACACCACAGATGCAATTTTACAGGATTGGACTGGACAAATTTTCCAATTTCACTGGAAAATCAGCTAAAATAACTCTTTGGGTAAAAAGTTTTACTATGGTAATAATGGTCAGTTCAATCTGGTTTTGTCCTGGCTGTCTACTGCTGATCACATACAATCACTTCGTATACATCCGAGCCTTATCTAAATAGTGTATTCATTTACAGTTCAACAATTTTAGGTGTGCACGTTAAAAATTCTCCTGTGCAAACTCATTAGAGGTTCTTCATTATACTACCACACTTATAAGACAACTATGTTGAATCTCTTCCTCCAATTTAACTTATATCTTGTAAAATTTATTTATTAGTGGTATAATATTGCAGCACTTCGACAATATTTGACACACAGAGGAAAAGAGCATACCTGGATTATTGTTAACATTATTTTTGGGTGGTCTAGGAGTTGGTTTGGGAAGGGCAGTTTCATTCAATGCTTTGCTAGCAGCAGCATGTTGGGCCTTTTTAATACTGCTTCCTTCAGCCTCCCAGGTCTGTTCTCCGAGAGTCAGCTGCACTGTGAACATCTTCAAAGACAAAGAACAGGTAAACACTGGCATGATTGTCACTGCGGATCAGACCAATCTGTATAAAAACTTTCAGGGCTGAAGAGAAGCTGTGCTCTCTTTTCATTACATTCAACTCCCAGATAACACATCTGATTCTTACAGAGATCAGTGGTCTTTATCAGCGGACAACACTTGGTCTTTTAAATGACAAAGAGCATAATGTTAAAGTCAACTATCAAAGAACAGAATACTATTAAAACCAAGTAATAATAACTGCAAACTGGTCCTCTGCTCTTGTAGGACTATATACAGGTCACTTAAGACCACGTTTCTTCACACATTTTAACACACTTAGTCACTTTTACCTGTAGAAAACAGGTAAAGAATGTTACTAATAAACCCAAAAGTAGTAAATTTGTGATAATTCTGAATTAATATAAATGACTGCACACTTCAAGATAGTGGAGAACTTGGCTCAAATATTTTTACACAGTGAAAGAATTTCTCACACAATCTGATTTCAGAAAATAATGAGTATTGTTAGGGCAGCGTCACAACGCAAATACATAAAAAAATATAAAGTAAGAAAGAAAAGAAGTATTATCTTTTTTAATGAAACTAGAGTTCTTTAGTGTGGACTCTATAGTGAAGACAGAAACTATAAAAATTCAGAGTTCGGAAACGGACTACTGATAAAAAACATATATATTTCAAAAGCTCCTTTAAAGGATTATTTCAAGCAGTATCTATGCTGTGCAAGTAGTGAAGATAAAACTAAATCCATATTTAAGAAATTAGGTAGAGTATATCTTCTGATACATACATGTTGTTTAAATCTGAGCATCTAAAAATGAAAGGAGAAGGATAAGAACTCACTGTCTTTTCCATAACAATTCCACACAAATACAGCAGGATTCAACAGTCAGATACACATAGCAAACTGAGATATACCTACCTCAAAAAACAGAATAACTTACTTGAGGCAACATAAAGAAATCTACGTATTAGTGTGAGGAGTATATAGAGTAAAACTTTCATTTGGATAGTTATTTGCTATATAATTTTTAAAATTCTTTAAACTTGCTAGATCCAGGACCAGGTGTCTAGAGATGGGCACGACGAACATTTAAATTTGCCTTTACATATATTTATATTTAGCATGTACTTGCGAACAAGCATTTGAACACAAGTATGTATGTGCTTTCCAACTCACCCTATGCATGTGTTCACAACACATATGACCTGAATGCTATAAATACATACTTGTGTCTTAATTACAGGCTTGAGTGTTGGCCTAGTAGAATTCTGAGAAACACGGTGCAAGTCCCCAATCACAGTTCCTATCACTGTGTCATTTTTTCGACAGCGGGGGAAGAGAGAAATAGTCTTTTAATTTTGGCCAAAATTTTTGGTCAAACCCTACCCCCACCTGAAAGCTAAGCTGGGTATTAGAGCTAAATACCCAAAATTATAGAAATTATCTATAAACATACCACCTTATTACTAAAAGAACTGAAATTTTATTTCAGGATCTGGAGTTTATATATTTTATATCATGCAAGAAATTATCAGTGTAGTATTTTTATTGGAGAGGTATAATCTTGAATTTCAATACAAATATGACAAATAATGGCTACTTATCCACTTATAATTCTCCTTTTAGTGCTTAGAGCAATAAACTCAAGATAATAAATAATTCAAGATAATAAAAGACTTGATTAGCAAATTTCTAGAGCCAGAAAACCTTTTCTAACCTTCTCACTTGGCTCATCTAACAAAAAACTCCTGCAAAAACGAGTACACACAGTAGCAGATGGGAATTCAGTTAAAGGAATATTATCGCCTAAAACCAAAATCTGGAGCAGCCAATGAAGTACTCCAGTTCTGCTACAGACTGAGAGGCATTTCTCACTTGTTTTCTGAGGAAGTCTGTATTCCTTACATCCAGCCTCATTTACCTGATGGCTAGAGAGCAGAAATACAAAGGCTACTGTGTTCTGTGCTTGTCTTCACTCTGCTGTGTTTGTAAGCTCAGTCTCACTTAGCTCTGGCAATTCTGTCCTCCTCACTTTCTCCGCATGTAGAACTCTCTCTCCTTCTCAGCCTTTTGAAGTGCTGTGTCCCTGACCCCCTTCCCTCTTCTCTGTACTAACATCCACTTTCTTTTGCCTTTGTGTCTTTTAAATTTGTCTCCTGAGATGTCACTGACATAAAAGCACAGAAGAAATTATCAATCTGACTAATGTACTCAAAAATGTCATTTATGCTAACAAAGACTTTCTGACTTTTCTTACAATGAAGAATGCACCTGGAGGGCAGGCTCCTGAACACCTGAACTGTACTGTCAGGGAGTCCCACTCCCCTCCCAGCTCCACTGTTTCTAGTTTCCCATTTCAACCCAATTGTCAAAACCTACGTTCCAGAGAAAATTAGCAAAAAAAGGTTGTAAAACTTTACTAGCATTTGTGGTCACAGCAAAGACAGCTGTCTTGTAGAGCATGTCTCTGAAAATCATGAGAACCACTAGTGAACAGGAATGGAGTATGTGTGGGAGGAAAGCAAAGTGAGCCGCTCCTTAAATGGCAAACGGCAGCAGCAGCTTTACAACCTTCAGGTCATGCTTTCTAGGACAACCTCAGCTTTGTTTCACATATTTTATCAGGTATATCATCATATTACTAGCAAGACGTCGTACTAAACTGCAAACAGAGTCACTGCAATTTCTATGCCTCTGCTTTTTGTAGGTAAAAGGTACAAAAGTCTGCATAGTCTTATTAATATAACCCTTGTTCTTCATTCCCTTTCCTCCTTCGTTGGTCTTATCTGCTGCAAAGGTCAAAATTAGACTTAATATTCTTCTTAGCAACAACCAGTCTACAAAGCACATATTTTCTTTTTTTACCAGTATAAGCATAATTTAAAATAAGAAGATGTTTATTGAAAAACTGAAAAATTAGGAAATCCATTGAAAACATGGCTTTAAAAAGTGCAGCTAATGCAGGCTATAGTAATTTCAATTATATTAGTTCCTTTAAAAATAATAACAAATATATGTGAACTATTTCTTATCCTACTGAAATTTAAAGTATAGTATGAATATAGTGTAACTCAAATTTCTTTACTGCAGAGAAATATGAACAGTGACAACCACACCTTCTGGTGCAACCAAAGCACTTCTTATTTCACAAACACGGAAAAATAGCATCAAAATAAATATGCAACACAGCAGCAAAAAGTTACAGAAAATGCAGCAGATTTAACATGCTGGAACCTAAACCAAACCGACCAGTGTACCCTGTGGTGCCAAAAACTGGCAGGAAGGGGAAGAGCACTTCAATTTCCATTCGTAATGATGAATCCTAAAAACCTGCTGACTCTCAGCAGCCCTGCACCTGCTGGCATCATTTCCACCAGCATAAAGGCTGCACGGACACCAGCCAAATCAGGAGGTTGGTGATTTGCATCAACTCTGCACCAGCTGACAACATGATGTGCAACTGAGAAACAAGGGGCAATGGCAGAGACGGCCCACGATTAGCTGAAAGTGCTCCTGATCTGCTGTGCAATCCCACTCATGTCCCGCACAGTTTTGCCACTCCAGAAATACTGAGTAGAAAGCAGCTGTTAATCATGCCATTGTCTCTCTCAAGAGTTTTTCAAAATTCAAAATTATGTCTGAAAATTATTATGATATCCCCCTGTGTTCCCCATCATCTGAAAGCATCCTAATTTGTATTTAGGAAATTGGATATCCAAACTGATATGAGAACTGACCAGAATTAACTGTCAGTTCACTAGAAACTTCAATGCTGTAATCATATTAGGAGTCTTAATATCACCATAAATCTTAAAGTTGCACAGAATTTAATGGAAAGAATAGCTATAACATTTGTGCCCTATAATACAAGGTCCAAAGATACAGTATCAACAGAATCAACTTTATGGACACAAAATCATACCAATAAGGACTTTAAAAAAATGACACAAACTAGCTTTGTCACCACCTGCACTCTCATGAAACAAATGCACAGGCAGTTGTCAGAGGCACACCGACTGGGGAGAATGGTGCATGCAGCTCAACAAGCAAATGCTCCATAATGATTAAGAAAGGGTGGCAGATACCCTTGAAAGAGCTTCACAAGGTCTTTACAGAGACCAACAGATTCAAACTCACAGGTGGAAGTCAAAATGAGGTCCAAAATTATCAACAGGGCTTCAACAGAAATGCAGACATACTTTCTGAAAGTGTAAAAGAAAAAAAAAAGAAAAAAAAAGAGGGGGAAGAAAAACAGAAAGAAAGAAGAGCAAGAAACCCCTTGCACTAGAAATGTGGCTGTGTCTGACAAGCACACTTGTCCAGACCATGACATTATCTGTTCAGCATTTAAGGTATGGCTCATCACCTGGAACTGTGACCTTACCTTGGCATGAGCAGGCCCTCTTTCATTCAGAAGCTTATACTGGGGTTGAATTCTATTGAAACGGGCTAACTCATTTACCAGACACATTGGAGTTTTCTCTTTGGGGTTTGCCATGTTATCTTGGAGAGGAGCTGCAAATAAAGAGTCTGTAAAGTTTTTGTGGAGAAATGTATTCTTCACAACTTTGCAAAGTTTTGCAAAAGCAGCAGCATGTTTAGAAGAAAATACTTTTGGCTAAATAATAGTTTTTGCACATATGCTAAATACAATGTTTAAATACCATTTACATATGAATCATATCACAATATGTACTTTACAGTAACTGTTTTGCTTACATACAACTTTAAAAAATACAACTATTTCTTTTCTAAAATGTCTCTGTAAAAGATGGCAGTGTAAGAGGACATAAATATACGTTACATTTTCTATGTCACCAAAGTTTACTGTCAGGAGTATCCTGGTCCCAGGAACTGACTACTCTTTGAGAATGGTTTATTGACACTTTCAAGCAGAAATGGATAGCATAGAGGTTGCAAGATAAAAGCAGCAGATTAAAGCCTGTTGTCCCCACTTGCTTCTCCCTGCTTCTTCCCAGTGTTTTAGACTTTCCTCACAGTAAGGAAGCACCCTCAGAGCACTCCCAAAAAACACCTTTCCTTCCCCTTTAAGGATTTTGTTCTGCTTTTCTTAGACTACTTACTTCATGTATACTATCTTACTATTTTTTAACGTTCTGCTGTTTCTTTTTTCAATTTATCTGTATTTATCCTTAAAACATACTGTTATTTCTTGCTTAAATTTTTAGGATAAAGTTTCTATATCTTATATCCAGTTCAGCATAGGAACTACAGCATTTGTCAGGCTACAAAGGAAATGCCAAATACTGCCAAGCAGTCTGAAGACATTCTGTTCTAGGGAAGAGAAATACACTTGGAGACTTTCCTACACCTCTAAAACTTCTCTATAGAAGATACGCTCAGAATTTGATGAAGCTGATATGGTTTTTTTTGAGTTGTTATATCATTGACCAACACTTCACTGTAAGTCTGAGCTCAGTTAAAGAAATTTAACTTAGTAAACAGCCTATTTAGCCAAAACATTTTTCTACGGGATTTTTTTCTTTATTTTAATCCTCTTTAAGACCTAACTGTTGGGTTTTTTTTTATTAACAAGGCATTGAAAAGATCCATTTGAACACTAAAGAGAATATACCTGGAGCAGCTTACCTGGTGAGTTGCTAGAAGGCGCAGGATCGCCAATGCCAGCAGTGGGACTGCTACAGCTGGCGGCTGATTCCGAAATGGATCCGTTCATTGAGGACGGCAGACCCAGTGTATTTGTAGTTGTAACTGGCAGGGGTAGCACCATAGGGGACATGGTAGGTCCGGACAGGTTTGCTGTAGTCTGCATCTTAACTTGTGCCATTGCCTATCACTGCAATAAACAAATTACAATGAGCAGGGCACTTTGCATTTTGAATGTCAAATGACAGTAGTGACATTAACAACATTTCTTTTACTCTCCTGGATCTGGGTTACAAAAATATCCACAAAAGTCATGCCTCTACAAACATCACTTCCGTCTTTTAAATGACAGCAGCACAGCTCACAGCCAAGGAACATCACTGGAGCAGAATCCACACGCCTCGACTCCAGGTTCTGTTGCTTAATTATGGGGTGACCCTCCCTGAAATACAGCAGGAAGAATGATCATTCTAGAATAAAATTCCATATAATTATTCTGCAGCATAATTAGCACCTGCCAAGAGCGGATGTCTTTGCAACAAACTGCCATAGCAACCTTTTGCCATAGTTTTTCCAGTAAAGTGCACACAAAATACCAAATAAGGTCATGAGAAAAATATCCATATTTTTTCTGCCTGTTTCCAAACTAGGAAAGAGGAAAAATAAGAAGTGAAAACAAACAAACAAACAAAACGCCAACAAAGAAGCAAGTTCTGAAAAATCACTGCTTATCCAGTCAACAGGTGGAGCACTTCAATCCTTGTATAAATTACAAGAATCAGGATTTCCTAAATTTGTCTTTAATCCAGTGCCTAAAGCATTTACTTGGCATATGCCAGGTACTAATTTTCTCTCTCCATCTGTTTAAATTAGTTTTTTTATTACCAATACCCGTTCTCTGGCTAAGTCTGTTCTCATAAGCAAACCAGGATTAGGGCATGAACCCTTCAGAACTATTCACTGAGAGTATATTCACTGCTTGGCAAAATTTTGGCTACTGACAAAAGTCTCTTGGAAAAACCACACAGAAACAGTTCAGAGGTCAGCAAGCATCCCAGGCAATCGACCCAAATAAGCAAGGAGGCAATCATTCTCAGTCCTTCAGGGAAAAGTCTTAGGCTTCTCCTTTTGGCATTATGAGCAAACAGGATGATGACTTTTATTCTGTATTTTTTAGGGTTCATACACATGATATGATCTGTGCAGAGCAGATAGAGAGATGAACCCTGTAACAGACAACAAACAGCCTGGGGACCTGGGACCTCTCCCAGCAGCAGCTCTGGTCCCTCTGGCTAAGGCGGAGGAGGATGGGAGCCCAGCTCTCCTCCCTGACGGGCAGCACCCTGACCACTAAGCTGTTTGCTACTTCTGCCAGGTTACTTCTCTCTTCCTAAGCAAAAACCCTATCCAACACCTGAAAAACTTTCTGAATAAGGTCTAACTGAAATGAGTTCAAGTATACGAAAAATTTTATTACATCGGTATTTTTGCTGCCCTCCCAAATCCGTTGAAAAATATCCAAGTATCTCTACTCAGAGGGACAGTATTGTTGAATTAAGATCCCAAATCAGTTGACATACCACAGAGTGCAACTACTTTAGCACAGTTGCACTAGTATAATGAAAATAATAAATCCTATTGCTGTGACTCAGTGCTTTTGGAGAAGAGGCTCAGACTAGAATGCCATTTTTATTACTGAGGAAAGACAGAAAACCAATTTAAATCTCTGGAAAGGCAAAAGTAAAAAATTTAAACAGTAAGGAGGTTTAGGCTAGACATTAGGAAAAACTTCTACACAGAAAGGGTTATCAAAGACTGGAACAGGCTGCCCTGAGAAGTGGTTGAATCAGCATCCTTGGATGTATTTAAAAGCCTTCCAGATATGGTGCTCAGGGACATGGTTTAGAAGGGGGCATGGTAGAGTGAGATAACAGTTGGACTTGGTGATCTTAAAGGTCTTGTCCAATCATAACAGTTCTATGATTCTATGAAAATGAAACCAACATAGTATGAAATATCATCACAAGAACTAAAGTTTAAGAAACTCCTTAGAGTATTTAGAGCATTTTAGCTTATAAACATGAGTACGAGAAAGCCATCACTCACATAGCACTGTATGAGATAGTACTGAATGCCTATTTTCGAGCCCTGCTAGTTGTGAATTATATTTTCAGTTTCCAGTATTTTGAAAGTTTATTCCTTTTTTTTTCAGGAAAGCAGAACTTACTAACAACCAAATAGAATCATGTGTTTTATGAAGTATATTTATAGCTTATGTAGTATTGCTGGGATATTTCATAGGATTGATCTTTTTCTATTAAGGATAAAAAATCAGTTTGATAATAGTATCAAGGAACTGTAAAAATGAGCAAGGTAAAGTTTAGGGGAAAAAATTCATTCTTTATCCCACAGTAAATTACCTAACAAATTAAACAGTGAAATCAGAAAAAAATTGTAACATATTCTGTATTGGGGTTTGCTTATTTTATTAGTGTGCTTATACATCTAAAGCTGAAGAACTCCTACAAGAAACTATAACTAGTTTGTAAATTAATCTGCATAAACAAAGATGCCTGGGAGGTAAATATAATTGTAGGCACTAGCTCTTAAGTACATGAGATATGAAGATAATGAATTTGTGATCAGTTCTACAAATCCACTAATAGAGAAACAGTGAATATAGTTGATATAGTGCTGTTATGTCATTTTCATATCACCAAGTAAATAATCTTTGATATCACCACAGAAAGTGGAGAAAACTTACATGCTCCATCTTTTCTCCACATATTTTACATATATACCAGCAACATACTATTTCATAAATAGTGAAGCAAAAACATTTTGCGGCCTTTCGGCCACAATCACAAACTGGTTTGCTCCTACACAAAAAAAAAGTAGGACTGGAGGGAGAGAGATTTCACTAAGCTGGCCAGAGATGAAATGCAGTTATATAATCAAAACAATTTTACATCTTCCACGTAGGTATTACTGAATAATCTGTCACACACAAAAAGGACAATTTCTTAGGATATTATGGGTGCGACCAGAAAGCCCACATACCTCATTTCAGGTGGCTAACCCTACTCACGCCTAGGAAGCCACAACACCCAAGAGAAGCTTCCCTGGATGCTCAGCAGTGGTTCAGACACCAGGGTCCCTGTGAGAACGCTGTGACTTTGCGCAGCTGTGACTGCCAGCCTGGTGCCTTTATCGAGCCGCCAGCTGCCACGCCGAAACACCACAGCAGTGCTAATTCTTGTGGTCTCAACCACACACATGTAACCCAGTCAAAGTCCACAAGTCGCGGTGCTGCCATTTTTGTAAAGTTATATGTCAGGGTTTACAGCACCTTTGGAAGTGCTGCAGTGTTTTTCCTCTCTTACTCTAACCTACACAGCTATATTAGAAATGTGACAGCAGACATTTAAAGGGATGTAAATATACTATAACTGCATTTTCCTTCATTTCCACTTTTGAAAGCACTTGGTAGATAGGCATTTACACAGATACATGAAACAGTTGGTAGTAACTCTCTTGTCAAACTGTGTATAAGCTGTGAATATGTATAAGCTCTCACACTAAAACCAAACCAAAACAAACCAAACTCATATTAAAACAACAAAACAAAACCTCACATTTTGAAGTTAAAATCTTGCATTCATTTTTCTTGTAATTTAGAAAACAACATTAATTTAGTTATATTGACAGATGCAGAGTATTTTTAACAACTGTGAATACACTCATGCTAAAAAGCCTCACACAACATAAAGAATTACTTCTATTTTTTCTGTTTATTATCATTCCTTGTACTTTTCTGAACCATGAATCACTTTATATCCTTAGATTTTATGACATAAGATATTAATTAAAAGCTCAGGTGAAATGATTCTTAGAATATGTCACACTAATTGAATAAATAAAGACAAAGTAGATAAGACAGCACAGAAGTTGGAAAACACAAACAATCAGATTTCAAGTTAAACGCAGTTTCACAATGTGGAAAAATTGAAAAAGCAATACTTGACTTGAGACACAGGTTGTTGTATGAAAAAGCAGCATCTGGAGGAAGTAATGACCTGAACAGCTGGAACAGAAGACTGGACCCCATCTGCATAGAACATGACAATGTGTATTTGCAGCAGGGTGCTACCACACTTTCACACCACTCTGCCATACAACCCAACGTACTGAATCCAATCTGCGTACAAGTATGTAGCACACAGCACGTACTACATAGTTGTGATGTGCTTTACAAAGGTAACAACTGAGGGTCAGCCACTGCTGAGTAAGAAAGATTGCTTGACATGTCTTGTATCTCATATAACAAATACTTCTGCTTACACATTCTAACTGGTGTCTCCTTTTCACAACAGTATCACATTAATGATTTTGGGTCCTTTTTCTGCAGAATTGCTACCCAGTAAGTTCCAGCCTGTGCTCTCTTTGTGGATCTGACTGTTCTGCAGCTAATGAGAGTCTGTTCTTCTCTTCCTTGAATTCCTTTATTAAAAAAAAAGAAAAAAGAAAAAAGAGAAATCTGTTGTTTCAATTTTTCAAGCCTGCTTTATAGCATCTATAAATGTAGTAAGTGTTTCATCCACATCATCAATGAAAATATTGAAAGGTACAGGAACAGCATTACTATAGACTGGGGGCAATGCCTAAGCAGGCAGCAGCTCATGGGTTTTTTTTCCAGAAAAACCCCTGCTTTGGTTAGCAGTTTGTTAAAACGATTCTTCTGTAAAAGACCCAAGTTGTGGTACCTTTATAGAACTAACAGCTTCCTAACTAAGGAGGGTTTGGTTTTAGTTTTAGCCTTAAAATCCCATTAAATTCTCCATTCTCCTTCTATTCTCCTGACACTACTTCACTCAGTTACACAAAAGCATACAAAACTGCCAAACGGTAAAATCTATTTCTTCCATGCTGTTTCTCACATTTACAGTAAATATTTATACATATATGTACACAACAGAAACAGTACTGCAGAAGTCCTAAGCTTTATGTAATTTCTTTTTCCTTTTTTATATCTAGCAGCTTATTTGGGGATGACAGAAAACACCCAGCTCTGCATTACATTCAGAGCAGTTGTTAATTCATAATTTTTATATCTTTCATGTTTAACAGTGTCTTATATTAGAAAATCTCAATTGCAGTGGAAATTCAGACATATCTACAGGTTAATTAACAACTA